TACTCAGCCACCTAACTGAGGAAATGTAATTAAGTAAGAATCTATTTGAGAGTGAATGAGAATGGGTTTGGATTTACGAACTGATTTCGTTAAGGGCAAAAATGTTCAAGTGTTGGTAGTCCCTGGAGCCCAACTTCGGCCACTGGACGTTTAAGACCGAGGTCTGATCCCGGACTGCCAACACAAGGGTGATTCTTGAGACCTGCCGGTAATTTAGTGTAAATTACATAGCTAGAATTGTCGGTGCATGCGGGAAGTAATAGGCTTAATTCTATACATGCGTGTATACAATTTGAACTTATATAAATCAGTAATCAGTAAAGTAGGCGAATGCCGAAATGAATCTGACAAAAAAAAAAAAAAAGAATTAGCTTACAAGGTTGGACGACGGTCACCCGTTTGTCATTGATTGAATAAACATTGACCGGTTTATTTATACTATTTGCGTAAAATAATCCTTCCTCAGCGATATTTTCCTACGACCCCTGTCCGACAACCAAGCAGAGATAAACGTCGCATAAATGCTTTAAAGGGGAGGAAAGCGTTACCGATGGCAGCACCGAATGGTTATCAATAGACGTTTTGCAACAATACCACGGTCGGTCGAGTGGAGAGGCGGTACACAAGTTTTCAATAGCATAGCAATCCTTTTCAGATGAAAGACGACATAGTCAACAAAACTGTTATAAATGGGGTTCCGTGCAATTGAATGGAAGGGCTTTTTTTAAGTAATTCGATTTCTAAATATCCTTCACGGCTTTGTTGTAGTACGACAATTGTCTAGAATTTCTTGTGCACGCCTCATATTTTCTTTAAACTCTGATTCAACTTAGCGAGAATTTCTTTTATAAAACAAATTAGTTTTTTTTATTTAAAAAATAGGAGTAATAAAATTATTATTAAGGACTTTAGGTTATTTGATATGCCTAGAGGATTGTACAAAGTTTACCCTTTCTTGGACGTATTTATAAAATAATGTTACTTTTATAATACAAATGTTTATTTTATTTACGCCTTAATATTAACTTGTTGGCATACTTTGGTTTATTAGGCCAAATCCGATCCTCTAAGTGAAGCCGAACTTCATCTCGTTTATACCAAGTTTAATTTAGACTTACAAGAAAGTCTGATTAATCAGAAACCGTCTATCGTATTTGTTTAATTCAACGCTTAATAATCAGCAAAATCATTCCTATTCTTTAAAAAAATCAAAACAGGTGAAAATTCTGATTTTCTCTAAATTCGCTTTTATAAATTCTTTATACATAAGTGCTAGTATGTCTCTTATGTATGAGTTTTATTGGATCATGTCTTCTTTTCGCTTTATTGGTGTCCAAAATTAGCTTCCAAATATCAGCACTGGGGTTGCCATCACTTTGTAAAATTAGAGCTCGGAGATTGGTGCCTCTCATTCTTTGAAACTGTGCAATCTTTGTGCTACTATTATGTTATCAATGATGATTTTTGACCGCATTGAATACTTACTCTCCTACCACTTTGGTTTTGATCGAGAAAATTTTGAATCATATGCCATCGTATTAGGTTGAGAGTGAAAAGAACACACGAATCATTTCATTTCTATAACCCCTGATCGTTCCCAGACAGAAGCGTTTTGAATGTAGGCCCATTTGGATATAGGAGTACGCCCGGAGTTGTTTCTTCACACAACAGTCCATATCGATGTAGATGTTCAAAAGTAAAGGTGATAGACAGCATCCTTGTCGGACTCCTCGATTAAATTCTAACGGGCTAGTATTTTAGGATTTCAGTCTTCTCATATAGGTTCTTTATCTGTCTTACGAGCTGTTGTAATTGCCCCTATGATCCATGATGTTCCATCATTTTTACTGTACATTCTATTCATATATCTTGTTTTTTTTTTTTTTGTTGTTTTTTTACAAATAATGAAAAATAAATCGTTATTGCACTTTTCAAATGTTTTTTTCTACATCTAATTAAAATGGAATATATGGTAAATAAATTCTATCGTAAATTACAGACAAAAAAGTCTCCGAAAGTTAGTTGTCCCAAGGTGGAATTGAAAATTGAATATTTGAGAAGTTTTTATGTCACAGGAAGCATAACACGATATAAATTATTGTTATTTTATTTATTTATTGCATAAGTATTAAACATATTGACATGTATATGGGCAGGATGCAGTTAACATCATACAGTAACTATTTTAAATTACTTTGCTAAGTCACTCGGTACCTACATAATTTATGACATAGTGGCGTAGGTAAGAAGGCAAATATATTTTTTAGCGAGAAACAAAGATGATATTCGTTATTTGTGCCCCCGTAAACTCCTGAATACAAGTTTTTGGGAAAATCAGCATATATTTTTCCCTCGAAATTTTCGCCTTCCAAATCCTCTCATTTTATCGAAAATAACAAAAAAAGACGATAATTTTGTATCGACCCCGCGGATCTACGGAACTGAGATTTAGAACTCTCTCTCAACTACACACAATGGGACAACTTTGGCCTCCGTAAATACATAAATTAGAACCGGCGGTAGAAAATGAAACGGTTGGGTGGTTTTATTGATCTCGTCCTTATTTGTCTCATTTATAATGGCATAACATCTAAATGTATTTGGCATAGGTTGAAATATGAACAACTCACCTTTTCTCGGTTGTCATGTCGTAGAAAGTGGATAAAATCCAGAAAGGTTATAAATTTTTAAATGGAAATCGGACATCAGAGAGAAAAAACTACCCATCGCTAATACCAGCCAAAAGGTCTATTTTTTATTTGCGCTGAAAATCCGTTTTTAATCGTTTTACATGGCGCTTAAAACAAGTCCGATTCGATTTTTCAATTTTTCCTACTTTACTCGGAAGTGTCTTCTAATTTTTATATATTCTACGTCATTTAATATAATTTACTGATTATAACATATAACAACCTAGGAATACATGTAAAACGAATGCAGAAAAACGTTCTATATCAGGGCTTTTATAAATTCTTGTAGAATAATTTTAAATTATTGACAATTATTGTGGATTTAAATTTTTAATACTGTTACATACATTATTATTTTAAATTTAGGGTAAATGGGTGGGTGGACATTGGACACCAACATTGGATGGACTGCCACGATCTCGTTCAGTATAAATTTAACTCATAACAGTTAAAATAAACTGCGCAAAAATGAATAGGGATAGTTGTAATTTATTCTTATTCTACTAATTTTAATTTAATTGGCCGATATATTCTTGTTAGTTGGATAAAGCAAAATAGAAAGTGCAAATCAAAAACAAAAAAATTGTTAATCCTCATTTTTAAGAAGGACGTAGGTTTTAGAAAAACATTTTCTTTATCGTGCCAACGTTTCGATCTTTATTGAGATCATCTTCAGGGCTCTAAATGTTTGTTTTCTGTATAATTTTGCCATTCTTGTGTTACGTGTTGAGAGTGCCCACTAATCACTAATTTAAACAATGTTTATAAATCCCAGGCCCTATATATATTATATTTAGCAACAATAGAAGTAGAAATATATATAAACAAAAAAAAACACTGAGTACTATATTGAGGAAACAAAAGATGAACATTGTTTCTTAAATTTTCTCCTGACAAATTCCTCCGATTTTTTTTTCGAGAATCACAAAAACGGCGATAACTTTGAAACGACTCCGCTGATCTGCGGGAAACTTAGAAGGAGAACTTTACAACCCTCTAAATTACACGAAATGGCGGTACTTTGGTTTCCGTTAATAAATTAGAACCGGAGATATAAAATAAAATTTGTGATATGATTTTGTTCATTTCATCCATTTTTTTTTTTACTCGTAATACATAAAGATGGTTGAATAAAATCCAGATGAATTATAGATTTTTTAACGGAACACCGGTCATCGAACAGAAAAAAATTAATCCTGGTAAATCCAGTAGAAAATTGTTTAATTTTTGTTTGCAATAAAAATTCGTTTTTAATCATAGTATTTTTAAAACAAATCTGATTGACGCAAATGATACAACCAGCCACGATTGACGTGTGAAACGGCGCTATGTCCTACTAAACCCTCACGGCACATCCGTATCGCATGTTATAATCTGATCAAAGCGCCGTAAAACAGAGTATCCTTGATGACCTATTCCGGCAACACCTTTTTGTCATTGTCCTTGTATATTTCTTGGATAAGAATTAGTTTACAAAAGCCTAACAAATTAGTGTTAAATGTTAATGTACATATGTCGTGGAGATAAGAAAATGTATCAATTTTCTTTGCAGTACATTTTTATCAATGCAAAATTGATAGATTTTTCTTATTAAAATTTTTTCTCAGTGAAAAGGTTACAAAGGCATTTTTTTCTTTACTTTAAATGCTGGACTTTTTATTTCCTTAAAATACTTAAACCAATATGATAAAATTCTAATATTTTTACAGTGTAATTTGTCGTCGATCGAGAATGGCTAATTGAATTCCCTATAAATGAAATCTCACTTTCCTCCTGCTAGGTGTTAACCCAAAAACCAGTTTTCTCCTAATGGAAAGATATCGCATTTAAGTTACCCTCAGGCTGTACGGGTATCTCAGGATTCGGCTGAATTCTATTTTCTTCGGTCTTACTCTAAAAACATCTTCTGAGCACATATCTGAAGGTTTGCGTTTTCAAAACTATGATTGATTATTTAATTTATAATAAAAAAGCAACACAATACTGGATTTTTCTCGACTTCCTTGTACAATAAGGATACTCACCAAGCATTAATGTATCTATAATTCTGTTATTTATAGTTTGATAAAATAATGGTTTTCACTCTCTAAAGGAGGATTTTATTAATATAATTACAAACATTAAAAGAAAATCTCACCTACAAAGGAGGAATTTGATTTATTATGTCGTTTTACAACTTTCTAAATACAAAACCAATTGATTTTTAAATCGTACTGAACGAATAACCACTACGACCTCCGCAGAGATCATAAATTAAAACAGCTGCTTTTTTTTATGCATAAAAAAATACAAAATTGTAAAAAAAATTACCTTTCTCGAGAATGGCAGGGTTCATCATCCGTCATCTTGCACCCCTGCTCCGTTACCTGAAACAAAATTTCCTAATAATTCAATCTGTTCCGTTTAAAACAGATTTCAGGTTGTACCAGTAAATATTTGAATCTTTAAAAGCCTTGTAAATTATTAGCGTGTGCTCCTATTTGGAAATCGGAAATTGAGATAACAATAAATCTCCCCCTCTCGCGAGTTGTGTTTGAGAGTCTGCTTTTCCTCTCTCATTTTATAAAGCTTTTCCACGTTGTCGCCTGAATACGATAGCTTAAACATACGAAAATCAGAAGAGCACAATAGGTCTAAGGCACACACGACAGAATTTATGGCGAAACTTTGACGGAAGTTTAAGCGTAAATGCATTCCTCCCATTATTCACGTTTAGCGGGCTAAGAGTCTTTTCACCCCCTGGAGAATAAAAAAAAAAGCGATACGTTCTCATTCAAACCGGTGTTTGCTACTTTTATTTTTGCAATCAATAGGAGACAGCAAATCTGCATGGAAGATGGTTACAAAACAGAGAGATAGCTAGAGGGATAGAGAAAAATAAAAAATAGACAGAAATGGTTTTATTTTCAGTTTTAGATTGATGTACATGTATATATATATATANAATGAATAGGGATAGTTGTAATTTATTCTTATTCTACTAATTTTAATTTAATTGGCCGATATATTCTTGTTAGTTGGATAAAGCAAAATAGAAAGTACGACCAAAAAACCAAAAGTTGTAAGATCGAAACGTTGGCACGATAAAGAAAATGTTTTTCTAAAACCTACATCACACCAGACCGCATCTCACGATCTCCGAATAAAAATGAGTAATCTTCATTGTTACTATTCTTAAGTAAATCCTTTATTAAAAATGAGGATAAGCAAATGTTTTGTTTTTGGTTTCTATTTTTTATTTAGTCTTATTCAACTATAAAGAATAAATCGGTTAATTTAGATAAAATTAATAGAATAAGAATAAATTACAAATATCCGTATTCATTTTTGAGCAGTTTATTGATGAGAAAAGTATGGCATTAATAGAGGAACTGAGAATCGGGCAGTGGAAAGCTTAATCTTGCGCAGTTTAGTTGATCGTATTTGTTACTTTGCAAATGATTAATTATTGGCTTTATCCCTGATTTTTAATTAAGATTATACTTGACAATGATATATTGTTAGGTGTCAAGTTAATTTATTAAAAAATTGAAATATATGTATTTAGGATTAGTATGTTTATGAAATAGGACATTCGAAAAATAATTTGTGAAATGCCTTTACAANTCAAGCAAGATTAGATCCTGATTTTCCAATGGCCTATGTCAACCACCGCTTTGAAAACTGATTTTGAAGTAGGAGAAATTATCAAAGGGAGTCCTTTTTTAAGAGACTGAGATGGCCAAATGGTTGGGGGCACCGATTCATATTTGCGAAGATGGATATGAACCACGGCATTGCCAATGAAATTTTAATTTAGAATAATATTCAAAATGTATAGTTAAATGGCCGGGCTCCACAAGTATAGCAGGACTTAGCTAGCTTACAAGAGGACATGGGGAGCCGCTGGCGAAGCTATGGAGGCTGATTAATAACCTGAAGCTGGCCAGTGTTTGTGAAATGCCTTTGCAATATATCGGGTAATAAATAATATATTCTATAATAATCTAATATATATTTATAATATATATAATGTAAAATATCTGTTATATATTATATTATATATCATATATTACACATTATATATTATACATCTCACGATCTCAGAATAATCATTGACTAACGGTCACTAAACACCACACACTATGTATTACATAATATATTCTACATATTATATATTATATATCATTTATAATATCTAATGTATAATATATACATAGAATGTATAACCTAATATATTCTATGATAACCATTAATTGCCCCTTAATTTAATAAATTCAAACAGTCCTGTTGCAATCTGTTTACCGAGCTAGCTAGGCGATTATAGAAGCCGATTGTAGTTTATTTCCGTTTGATTGTCAATTTAACCTTGGTTGCTACTTCTATCTATTAATACCTGTCTCTTGTCTCACCGCACAAGTTATCTCAATTTGAATCAAGGCAATGTTACGATTTAACGGTGTGATTTCAAGCGTGGATTTTGAGTTTGTGCCAAGTTAATTATTAAGGTTCCTCCTTCACATTATTGCTTTTAAGCTTTACGCTAGAACCTCATTAATCAAATGTCGCCGTTACCCAGGACGTTCATTATGGAATTATTTTCCTGCTTGTTCACGGATTTCTCATTTTAAATGAACACCTTGTTTAAACGTTCCCCGTGTAATTCGGGTGTATCGGATTTTTGACAAAACGCTTCACGTTTTGTTTCCCATTTAAGATACGCTTAATTGCTTAATTGAAAGTCCGCCCCCTGACCCCGGCTCGTTATCGACCAACACGAAGAAATCTTTTAATGCCGAGAGAGAAGTTGGAAAATCGATAACGGTAACAATCTAACATTTTTCCCGAGCGATTTTATCAATTATTTGTACTTTACCCGTCAATAAATAGTCAAATGTATTAGTACAATAGGTGGAAGAAAAGCTTGGCCTTACTTAAAGCGAAAGCATTCCAATAAATTGGCTAGATAGCTAAGTCCAAGTCAAAGTGGGGAACATTCTCCGCATTGTCAAACCCCCCTTAGCCCGTAGAAGTAGGACGGTAAATATCGTACCTCATAGAACGTGACTAGCAGTTTATCCGGCTCCGCTCAGAAATTAGTTTATTCCACGTAGAATGAGTTTATTTCATTTTTCTCCTTTTATAAGCCTCTTAAGGAGGTTCCTGATGAAAAATTATGATTTTCAGCTTGGTAGGCTCTTTCACCAATGGTTTTCAATGTTATGGATGGAAATTTTCTTGAAATAAGACTCGTTCGAACGGCAAAATAAAATAAAAGAACAAGGCGTATATGGTTCATGCGATATTCAACCGCGTCGCCCCTGCCCTGGCTCAAAAGATAACATCCGACCCGTTGAAAACTTGGCTACATGAATAAAACCAACGAGGGCATGGGCTCGTTACGGGGCCTGGCTGGTTTTGGATTTCCTTCTGCTTTTGTGAATCATATTTTGTAACGTTGCGTATTCAGTTATGCTTTTGTTTTATGTAAGCAAGAAAAAAATTCAGTATTAATGATATTGCTTTTTATTTTACTATATTTTACGCTGCAAAACCTGAGCATCGATAATCATTTACGCCAGCTTGTATAATTCCACGTATTTTTTCATCAGTTACAACACTAATTTAACACGTTATACATATTCCATATCAACTGTTCCAAAAAATTAAAATGGAAAATAGATGTTTAAATGTGTTTCGACATCCCTCCATCTTCAGTGGTTAGACTGCGCGTTTCTTTGTATGTATGTTTTTAAGTTATAATGATTGACAGATATAGGATCGTAGAGCATCAAACTTCACATTATTAATTTTTATTTTACATTATTTCCCTCCCCCATTATTGCATAAATGTTCAGTTTCGTTATTCACCACGTTTTGCTCAGTTATCTTCAATTTTGCTCAATTCAACACTTTACTATCGCGATTCGACGCTGAGCGAAATGACTATGGTAAAGAAAAGGTGGCAGCGCGGTCCACTGGTGTCCGAGAAGCTCTTGCGCGTCATGAGCCCCAGAAATTCTAAACTGAGGAAGAAGGATCATCCTAACCCGACCCAGAATTGGCCATACGCAGCATCTAATCTCTCTGGGTACTGAACCCTACTGTGGCTTAGCTTCCTGCCACAAAAGAGAATACTTCTTAAAATGGGTCCTTAATGAGTCCAAAACCTGGTGGAACAATATCACAGGTAGAGGCATGCGAAGAGATTCATAGAAGGACCATCCGCAAAACTTACGAAGGAACTGCTGGATGCCAATCGCAACCGAACCAAGATTCTGGTTGGACTCCTAGCAAGGCACTGCTACTTAAGAAAGCACATGCACGGAATTGCTTAGCCTGGTTAGCGCAGACAACAGAACAATTTGATTTGATTTACTTTGTTCCGCCGACTTTTTCCAATTCAAAACGAATGACAAATACCTTTAATGTGCATGATCATATCAACTTGATGTTATAGTACAGACAGAAGAAACGCTGTGCAGATACTGCCAGGAAGAGGAGGAGACCGCAGAACACATCCTATGTTTCTGTGAAGGTCTATGTAGGTGCAGATTTTTGCAACTAGGACAAGAAAAACCACAAGCAACATCCTACACTTAGGAGCCGCTGGCGAAGCTATGGAGGCTGATTAATAACCTGAAGCTGGCCAGTGAGTTATAAATAACAGGAGAGCACAATAATTCAGCCATTCAGGTCGAGATGCAGTATGCCTTGAGGCCGCCTTTTATATCCCTATCCATCCCTATTCCTCTTTCTTGGTTCAATGGAAAGAGCGAGATGAATGCCACGCAATATCAGAATTGTGCTCGAAAACCTTATTATTATATAGATAACATGTTTGGAGATATAATTATTCTGTGTTAACTGTTTCGTGAAAAGTATTTATGAACGTGAATGGGTGTGTAATACAAGAGCATGGTAGAATATCACGTACCTATAGTAATTAAACTAGTTGAGTAACTAGTAGAGGTTGATAGAAAAATAGGGTGAAATGACCTTGTCGAGTCTAACTCCAGCGGTGGCACGGGCGGAGGACAATCTACATTGGTCACTATTGTTTGTCCTATTTTAGGTTTAGTTAGACCGCGCGTTTTTCCGTTTATATGTCTATAGGTTATTGTGATTGTAGAGGTCAAACTTGGTATTGCTGGTCATTTGCAAAAGATTTGTTCCGTTTTCCCTGCCTTCTTTAGAAACAATCGCGATTGGCCATTAATTGATTGATCCATTTTATCTTCAGTGGTTAGTCTGCGCGTTTCACCGTACGTACATGTTTTTGTAGGTTGTAATGAATGGCGCAAGAGGTACCGTAGAGGATCAAACTTGATATTGCCGGGCATTTGCAAAGGATGTGTTATGTTGCCTCTTACTCCTTTAATCGGCA